GGAGTTGTTGTAGATATTTATTTACTTCATTATATTTATTAGAGTTATAATGAAATAGTTATTAGTGGAATACAATATATAGTATATACGATCATTATTTTAAACAAAACAATTGATATTCTTAATGTTAGCCATTAAATAAAGTGGATAAACGAATTTAATTCCAAATATTTAGAATTATTATATTTTGAAATATATAAAATCAATTCATTTTTTTTATGAATTGATTAAACTTAACTTAGGTTATTCAATTTATTAGTATAATCATGATAACATTTGTATTTTAATTAGTATATAATTTAAAAAGTTAAATCAATCGTAAAATTTAGTGTCACTGGATTCAGTAAAGAAAAAATAATTATTTAAATAATAACATGAAATTCATGTAGTATAATTTTTAATATGGTAAATAATTGGGAGTAAATTACTCAACACATGGCATGCATAACAAATAGTGTCAATTTTCGCAAGATAGTAAATTCAAACATGTATCTTTCTTTTTTACAGAAAATATTAATATATAATATTAAATTAGTAAAAAAATACATATTCTCTAGTCATGTTCATGTAAAATGTATAATATCAAATAATTTATTCTGCAATATTTTTTTTTAATATAAATCCAATTTTATGAATTAAAATTAAAAAAATTCGTAACACGGCCAATCATGCAATTATAATAAGGGAATATTTTAAATCGAATTTCACTAAATTCAAATTAAATTAATTATAAAATTAAATTCAAAAATAAATTTATGTAGGGTTTCCAAGAAAGTTGATATATTTAGAGCACTTTATAAATGGTAGGATATAAATAGATTAATAAAATAATTAAATATATTTAAGTACCTTTAATTTTGGAAAATGATGACATGTTTTTTGATGATTTATTTCCACCAATCAATTCGCCACATGGGATGAAATTGAGGACATGTCATCAATTGAAATTGCCAAATGTCAATCAATTAGCTATGGAATTCAACTTTATATATAGATTTATTCAATTTTTCTAGACTTTCTCCTCAATTAATGGAATACCTACTGAAGGAGGACTTGAGTGAATCGTAGATGGGTTACCTGATTTCTTGTTTAGCAAATTAAGCAATTGTTGGGAAACATTAATTGGTACATATCCTCAGTAAGTTTGTTTTCAAGAGCCTTTGTAACTACGTACATGATTCTTCTCAAGAATGCACAGATGATATATACTGAAATAAACTATATAAAAGAAGTTTTATTTTGTGATGTACATGCCCTTTTAGTTATTACAATCGAACACACATGAATATCAAGGTGTAGAATGTATTAATGGATATGTAACTTTACGAAGAAGAAATATATCAATTCCACTATTTGGTTCTAACTGATGGAAGACATGTTTAAGTATCAAACACAATCTCATTTTTTTTGTACTATTTAACTCATTCGATAGATTATGATAAATTGACTGAATCTCTCTCTATATTTCCTTAGACCATGGATCTCTCTATATGTTGCCCTACTTTCCCTTAAGATCTCTTTTCCTTCTTACATTTAGAAAATTTGTAGCATTCATCATATTTAATTCACTCCTCTTTGCTACGCAACTCTTTAGGATTCAAAGTTGCCTTAACTTCAAAACAATTTCTAATAATCCCCGGCTCTCATCGAAAACATCATTTACATGTCCATAATCTATAACAAAAATAGTTTTGAAAATCTATTTTCCTATTTTCAGTTATGAATAAAAATATAACATGCTATTGATTGAAACTAAGAAAATAACTTCTTTCAATGATGACCATGAGCACATTAAGAGTTTTGGGGAAAAAATCAAATTAACAAGAATAAAATAAAATAAAAAAGATCATGAATGAAAATATAAGTATAGCGTATGAATCTAAATGTATTGAGATAATAGAAAATGTTAGATTTTATTGAAAAATAATATTAATATACTTCAAATAACTTTGATATTTCCAGTATCTATTTAATTCATTTTATCGAATATATATCGAAAAACAGCACAATTTTTTTTTAAATAAAAAAATCTCATAAATATACTGTGACACAAGACGTGCAACGCACGTCCATCTTCCTAGTATTATTAAAATAAAAGAAATAGAAAATTACAAACTTTAAGCATTTGGTATTAGACCGATATGTGGCACTATGCTATACCTCGTGTGCACAAAGACATCCCGGACAAATAAGACCAACATGAATCCTTTTTTACAAATTCAAACTATTGCAACACACAGTCCGACATATACGACTTTATTATGGTCATGTACTGGATCGTGCCATGTGACAACATCATCGACACATGGTTATGCACGTCCATCCTATACGACATTCAATCGACCTACAAGATTATATTTACACAACAAACAACTATGCGTCATTACAAAAATGTGTATATATTATATCAATTGCAAATAAACTTACCTGGTATTCCGCCAATTTGTCCAGCATCAATATGTAGTATTTGAATGGGTGGCCCACATCATGCAAAGAGGTTGTATCTTTGATATGCGCAAAATCTACGTAAAACTAACTGCATGTATACAACGTGTTTTGTAGAACAATGAATTCTAGATGTCAATTCACAAGGAATTAAGTTCCTAAATTTACCAAGTACTGTAATTTTACTATCCTAAAATTTAAATAGACGATCGAAAATGATGAAGTTAAAAGTATGCAATTATAATAACAACAATCCTCTAGGACAAGCGCGGGAATTCCGATATATGATGACTTCTAGAGTAAAATCCACCAAAGTACTACGATAATGATCTCCAAACCTGATATTTAATGTCACGTTCCTTTTCGTTAACTCAAATGCTAAAATGCCCTAACCCCCATTTTCTTTGTTGCTAGAGTCTACTCATAAGTTTGACGTCTCTGTTCAGAACCTGATATTAAGAGAGCAATCAGGTCAAACCCTTAAGGGCTACCCGAGGTGTATCACTTCTCTGTATTCACAACCCGGTGGTTTCCTAAAATCAAACGAGAAATCTTCTCTCGAGCTCATTCACATTTATAACAAATTCAACCGTTGGCCAAACAATCGAAAGTATTAAGAACAAGAAAACAGAAACGATGTCAAAACAAGGCAAATAGTTAACATATCTAGAAATTAAAATCAATAAATGCAAGGTTTATTTTCCTAAAAGAAAATGCTCAGCTCATCACAAATAGAGCAATAAATAATGTACATGAGAAATTTAATAAGTTAAACATAAAGAAAAAACTTATGAAAAACAAGTCGAAACGCTCATCAAAGGTTCCTCGAAGAACTGGCGAAAACCGAAGAAAGTTGAAGAAGAGATTTCAAATGAATAGAACCTTCTACTTATGGTGAAATGCTAAGCTTCTTGAGGAAGCTTTAAAAGGTAAATTAATAACCGGATCGTGACAAGTGAAGGTTGGATTGCGATCTGATAACCTTGAAAATTAATAACCACCTTACCAAAGCGTGACGCGCTTTCAGGACCGCAATCTGGATCCAGGTCCAAAAACTCACTGGAAAGCTCAACATATCGCTATCAAGAGTCTGAATTTAGCCTTTGCTTCAACTTCAAACACTGTTTCACCCTTTTGTAGCCCAAATTTAAGAAAAATGCATTTCCATCAAAGATGTAATCATTTCAGTTGACTTTCAAACCCCACTAGAATAAGCTCCATCAATGTCGTATGCGAGAGTTGTGTTGGACTTATCAAACACCGCCACAATTCACATGAATACAGAAACACTTCTGCATATATTTCCCTTGATTCTCGGCTTCACTTCCAAAATCGTAATCGAATCGGCAAAAATAGCTTCTATTTACGTAAAACTAAAATAAGATAATAAAAAAATATAAATATATGCAAATAAAGCCAGAAAATTGGGACGAACGAAGACCAAAACTCAATCTCCTAATATGTCGACTGCACCTCATGTTGACCCGAAGAACATCATTGAGTTTCGGGTCAACGCACGCGAGCCTTAAAAAAGGCAAAAAATCATCACTTCAAGTAGGATGCACCCGATGTATCCAAAATTCAATTTTGTTTTTACAATATCTTTATAATACGTACAACATAAAAAAGTAAAAGTCCAGATATAAATGCACAATAAGGTTCGTCCCTTATGTAGCACATAATATTTTTTTTAGCGCTGTTAGAGAAAAATATGTTTGGACATATACTTGGTTCAAGACACAAACCCATTTTCAAACCAATCAGCAATTTGCTGGTGGCTTCAAAGTAGCTAATTAAAAAAAGAGTTCGTTTGGGGGAATCGAAATATTGTTGGGGCATTTTCTATCAATAAATCAGGCTTGAGATTAGATCGAAATGAACATTTACTTGTACTCAAATTGATGTTCACTTTATCCATTAAATTGAACATGTGTTGTTTCTTTATGCCAACATAAATCAGTTTTATATTAAAGACGTTTAATAACAACAACACACCAGTTCGAACATACTACAATCATAAGTCATCTCATTGGTTATCTTCATTATAATATAGATACAAAATTGTCCCACTAACCGAGGGAGGGAGGACCCTGAATTAAAAAAAAAAACTAAAAAAAAAAATACTACTAGTGAAGACAATCAACAAACGAAGAATACACACTCTACAATCATGCAAAATATAATAATACGTGGTCGTGTCCTAGACAAAAAGCCAATCTTGTGATAGATACCTTTGTACATGATTAAACAAACTCTGCACTTTTAGTTGTACATGACCACTGACCACAACATCTGCTTGCTTGCACACCTCCTGGCAATTAAAAATACGTCAGCGCGAGATGATGGCAAACAACGTTTCGATAAAGTTTTCATGTAAAAACTGCAGTGTCTCTCTCACCTTCAAAATGATGGCAACAGCTTCTTTATGATTTTTGGTGATCGAAATCGAAATGGAAGAACAAAGACATATCTCCACTAGTTTAAACATGCTTCAGAGATGCCACGAGATGACATTGTTGATGTCAGAAGCGTACCCCGGAAACCTTCTTCCGTTTTGTGTGCATCAGAATTTGGGTCTGAAAGCTCGTCTGCAGATTAGTGTATTAGACATGTACTAGAAGTGTCACTCAAAGGTAAAATCTAAAATTATTCGACTGCCGACAGATGAAAATTTTATAGCTTAAAGCTGCAGCATCGACTACCAATACCGGTTTTAGGAAGGAAGGCGAGAAAAAAAGGATTAGAAAATAAGACATAAGAGAAAACAAAGAGAATAATGGAAATTCAATTGTATACCACAAAACCTGAGAGAATGAAACTTGATTAAATATGTAAAACAAAATACAAATTATCAGGTGCTACATATTTAGCATATACACTCCACAATGAAAACCTCGAAGACTTAACTGTGGACAACTTGCGCTGTACCATTACAGGAAATGATTCACTACCTACTTCCATGTGGCAGATATGATTCAAATTGCACCAAGACTTGGTAATACTAGTTATTCTAAAGCCAGAAAAATTTAGACTCATTTTTAGTTATTTCTATTTTCTTTCTACACCTTAACAGAGTACAGATGTTGCAGGTAGTTCAGAATAACTTATTTCTCTTTCGATGCAAACATATTAAAACTATTATAATTACTATCTTTGATTTGATTAACATGAGATGAGAGAATAGAGGACGAGTCACCATGCAGATGACATCTTGAAAGGGCTAAACATTAGCAGTGATCAATCTAGGAACTGATTATGATTTAACCGCGCAATCTCATCAAACTTAAGAAAGAAACTTTGTCAATTTTAATTACCTGACACGAAACTCTAGAATTAAACAACCTATTTCTTACGTATGAAGAGAAGCTACCTGGGAAAGGTGTTATTCAAGTAATAAATATCTAAGACTGAAAGTCACTATGACTTACCAGCAATATCACGATTCTCATGGATCTTCGAGTCGGTCACCCATAGAATATCTCCAGGAAAAATATTAACATCAGCAAGACAAGCTGTTTCACCATCAATTATGTTGGAACCTTTGTGAAGTATCTGGTTCTCCTTAACCACCTACATAAATTTAGAGCACCATGTATTAGATGACCTGAAGCTGTTCAGCTTGTTAGGTGTTCTTATATTTCTGTTCCGAAAATCGCAGTTAAAACATATTTGATAAACTTATTCTCTATCTGTTTTTTGGTTGTCATGCAATTGCTTGGCTCTAGTCAACCCATTGTTAGGACTGAAATTTACAATTGACACCAAATGCGAGTAAGAGAAATAACATAGTATATATCTTACCCCAAAGGATTCCCATATCATCATCTTCAGCTGGTAAATGGATGTAGAGCCAGAAACATTCAAATTTACAGAATTTCCATATGTTGCCTTCCTTGACCGCTTGGAAGTTCGACGATTTGAATCTAAACTGCTCCCTGAAGCTTCTAAGATTGATTTTGGAGGATCCTTTCCGCTAATTAAACAAACACATATGTCCTCATTCGTATAATTAAGTTTCTTCATCAATTCCGAACTTTCCCTCTCACCGATGCACTCTTCACAAACCTACAGAGAAAGAAACTTGATCAATTGTACATGTGCCATAGTCGAGCTGAAAAAGTATCCGCGGGTCAGCTAGCAGGATAAAGGCATTCCTCGAGCAGTCAATACGCTAACATAAAAAAATTATGCATTGAATATTTGAAAGAACCAGGAATAACTATCAGTAAGCATAAACTGCAAACATTTTGAACTTTACACAATTATTTAGTTTGTCACAAGCTTATAGTCGAGCATCAAGAAGAGATATTTTTTTTTGGTGGGCATATTCGAAACTAATCCCGATATCAAATGACCTGTCTCGCCTACATACTAGAGGCTGCAGAAAATAAAACCAGTATAACAGTTTATTACTTTTTGAAGGCAAGTATTTTATTTAAGGGGGATCCAGGGTGCATCCATAAATACTACATCGTTGTATCTACCATTACTTCTCACATCACCCTGGTAGGTCATACTGTCCTACATCAATTGAGCTAACAATTTCAGCAGGGCATACGAATAAAAAAAATTAACCTCATCACTATAAGCATAAAATGGAAGACCAAGATTACAAAATACCTCAGGAGAAGTCTTAACAATAGGCCTTTGTAACAGGGTCATATTAACTTCATCGGACATATTTACATCATCCTCAGCAATTGGCATCTCTTTGCAAGACCCAGTCGGGCCATCTTCCACAACATTATCAACCTCGATTCTGGCAGAAACACATTTGGACTCTGAACCACCCCAGTCTCCACAGAGTGATCTCCAATCATCCTCGGCAATCAGTGTTAGTTCATCTGTCTAAAATAGAAAATTGAACAAAGGGAATCTCATATTAGGGTGTTCAAAAAGGAGGGTGCATACATATTTAAAAGGTTTGACAATCTACGAACCCTAGAGGAGACTCTAGTATATCAGTGAGCCATGCCCATTCATCGTATTAGTATGATAAGAAATCAGAAAGGATGGGAGACTTACAGCAGCTGACTTTTGGAAAATAAGTTCACGCTTCCAGAGGAGTTCCGGAGGCCTTTCAAGTAATTGACAATGCTGATGCACAAATAAGAGAAGTTAACACAACAATCAGACTACAATATAATAACAAAACCAACTGCAGAACAATCAGTGTGAACGATGCTGTCTTATAAAAAAAAAACATTGGAGAAAACGATGGATATTTTATGAACTTGAATGAGCTCAGTTCTCCAATGCCTATAAAATATCAGTCTAAAGACAGCAGGAAGCAAATAGAAAATAAAACACATATATATATATATATATATATATATATATATATATATATATATATATATATATATATATATATATTTAATTAGCATTGACGAAAATATACATAAAACTAAAGATGGCAATGGATCGTTCGACAGGTTTTTCTAAACCCAAGATCTAACCTGTGAAAAATTAAAACCCAAACCCGCCCAGTTAATGCCAAACAAGAAATTTAATGTCTCTTAACTTATCGTTATATTTTTCTCGTATATTTACAATAAAAACAATCTCAATATTCTAATGCAATATTTCTAAAAATGTGTGCATATTCTATTAAGTGATAATACAAATATATCATTAATTATATTAAACTAGTCCACTATACAAAGTTCAAAGGGCAAATGTGCAGCGGTGATCGAGAACTGGTGGAGATGGCATACGAGAAATGAAATTTCTGAAAAGTGAACCCGGTGAAAAGAGGCATAAATGGGAAGATTTAAAAAGATGAATGGAACTTTGGAAAGTGAAAATCCTAATTTAGTTTATAAAAAAAAGTAGATAATATACATATGCTTAGGTTCTGGGTCGGGTCCTGAAAGATCGGATACCCGACCCAAAACTGCACAGTTCTAAAAATCTAAACCATTATCTGCCCCAAAACCATTTAGCTTACCCATACTCCCCCAAAATGGCTCAGTTCTGGGTTTGAAACCCGTCAAACCCGTACCCATTGCCGTCAGTAATAAAACTTGGTGAAAAATGAAGGGAAAACCACCAAAGAGGATGATGGATAACCTTTTCACATAGCAGCATATCAACAACCTCGTTCAAAGTATCAAGTTCTGCAGAGGAAGCATTTTTCCCATTAGCATTAATGTAGCTTCTCCACTTTGAGAGCCAAGATGAGGGCAATAAATAGTATCTGGTGTCCGGAAAAAGAGCCAAGTTCTTATTCATGGCTAACTTTTCGTGAAGCTGCCTCTGCTTCAACTTGAACTCTCTGCAACATACAACTCCAAGTAAGCCCCAAAAGATATATTAATTTTCAACTAAGTGATTATTTTTACAACCTTAAACTGTCTTCTGAGAATGCAGCTTCTGTAAGTTCAGCACTGCAAGAAGAACACGGTTCAGAGTTGGAACGAAAAGTTGAACGGCCCACAGAGTCATCAGGCTTCACCGTCATGGCAGTTTGATGTATAAAATTCCAAAGGCTCTCAGGCACCAGTATACGTTTAGCCCCAGAAGCTAGTTCAGGCATAAGTTCACCATGGGGGCATCTAATTGATGCCGTCGGTCCAGAATCAGCATCACATGGCAAGTCAATGTTTTTCCGGCGTAGCCACTGCTGCAACCTACAAAGCGTAAGATCAACAAACAGTTCTAACTATAAATATGAGATCAAGATTACCATTAATAAATCAATACTACTTTTGCTCAAATTCAGCTGCTATACACATTTGGTAACACACTAACACTAAGAAACATACAGACTGATACAACTTCCAGATGCCGAAAAGAGTGTTCAGCTTAAGTGAAAAACACGTGAAAGAATGAAAAAAGTCATCCTATGAAATTACTGAGATCCCAAATCAATTTTCACAGTATTTTTTTCTTCTTTTTTTCTGTTATTACTCAACAATCTGCAAGTGACTCTTGGTTTCACATAAAAAATGGCCTGGTCTCACTTCATGCTTCAGCTATTTATTGGGGCTCAATTACTTTATTTTACCTCTTCTCAGTTCAGTAAATGGTTGAATTTGTGGCCGGATGCCTTTGAAACTTAAATCTTTCCTTTATTATTTAAAAATTCATGTAAAAGCAATTCATCAAGTAATATCCACAGGATGCGTGCATATTTGTCAAACATGAATTTTTGTGTTGCACTCCACACAATTATAGTTTAAGTAGGTCTTTCTTAAATAGTAGCATGCAGTGAGTGAAGACAATCAGACAAAAGACAAGAAATTTAGCTCAACGGTGAAGGAAAATCAACTCTTTTACACATTTCATACCACGATTTTGATATGTAATACAGTTCTCCATCTAAAGGCTTCCCGGAAAGAGCTGCCTCTGCTAGTTCTTTCATCAGTGATTTCTGATCCCGATACACATTTGCACGGACCAAATTGCGGCCCATCTCGAATATGCAATCAGCGCAATAGTCACTCTTAGCCAATGTTGGCCCCCCATCATACTAGTCATAAGAATCACGGAAAATATTATCAGAAAAAATCTATGGGCAAATAATCATATGCTAAACTGTTCAAAAGTCTGAAGCAAATGCTAATGATTCCGACTACATCACAGTAGAAGCACTAAAATGAATAATTATCTACACATTTATTTGAAGTCACCTACTGGGATTAGTCCCATCAAGAAAATCAAAATTGTGGAATTCAGGGAATTGGTTTTGCAAAATAAAAAAATAGTGGTTCGATGTTCTGAAAAGATATATTCATCTGGTTGCACTTTCATCTTGTCCAGATCTTGAACGAGGATACTTTTTCAGTAATTTACACCGTAACTCTTTTAGATTTATCACTAACCAATAGAATTGCAAATTAATGTGGAAACATCAATTGACATGTGAAAAGGGTATCTTACATTAATAACATATCATGCATAAGGAACAGCAACAAATGATACCTTAGAAAATAATGTAGTCCAGGCTTCAGCTGACAAACGCTTCATGTGGTTAGTTTTTGAAACTGGTACCTTGGCATGCAAGCACTGTATAGATGAGTTGTCAATAGTCCTGCATAAATTACTTGTTTTATCGACATTTATCCTCACAAGGCTTAATATATTTTCAAACGCTATTACACTTCCTGAATACAGCTTCAGGGTTATGGAATCGTAAATAAATAGGAGATTAAGTAAGTTTCAACCTTTTAAAACATTAATGACCCTGCTCTTCCTGTGAAATTAAGGTTCTGATTTTAAATTGAAGTTATCTATCCTCCACTAATACATTTATGAGTAAAATTAGACAAGCAGGGATGTTAAGAGCAGATCTAAGAATACACAGCATCTGTGTATTGAGCTTCAACATGGAGAGGGACATCTCCAGAAAAGTGAAATTTAGATACATAACATAGAAAAGTGTTCCAAACCCATGAGTTAATGTACGCTTTACAAGTCTAAGCAGAAATGTTTTTGTTTTACTTACAATGGAGTGACACTGTCTGCCCACTGACGAAGCCACTCAGTACTAATCCAGAAGTACGGCTTCTCGAGAGATAGAACTGGAGCTTCTGAAAGGATTGAACGCACCTCTTGTCGGCGCTTCGTAATGCAACTCAGCTCAAATTCTTTTTTTGACTTGTAACGTTCACAAGAATCAAGAAATGTTGAATTCAGCATATCCACATCCTTCAAAAGATGGGATGGAAGAGGACTGTTGGTTTCTTGTAAAAATACAGACCCTTCAGTTTCCATTTTGTGTTTACCAGACTGTGCACTAGTTCTTTCACCATTTATGATTGATTGCCTACGAACATACATTAGCATATATGCGTCACCGGATGAAAATGTTTGTACACGATTAACCCCATTTGAATCTAAAGATTGTAGCTGGGTAGAATTCAGATGATTCCCATTCTCAATAGCATCCACACCGTTTACATATGCTGAGCTTACTGGCTCACTTTTCCCAGTTTTGGCTGCAGGTAATGATGCAGTGGACCCAAATGGCTGTTGACCCAAATTCGAGACTTGTTCATCATCAAATTCCCACCACTCACCAGTGTTCTCATCCTTTATATGGGCTGTATAATGACCACTGTCCACCGCAGAGCCCTTGTGTATTAAAACAGCAGCTAAATCATATATCAAATCCAACTGAGAACACTCAGATAATCTTCGTGCCATATTTAGTTCTCCAGGGAAACAAAATACTGAAGTGATCTTTTTCTTTGTGGTTGTCTGCAAATAGACCCAAACGAATCCATAAATAAAGTTGACAGAAGAAAAATGCAAATGAATGTAATTTCAGTAGGTACTGCATTTTCACCATTGATCAGTTGATAAGTCCTACTGTCCAATGTTTCGCCTAAATAGTGAGGCCTAAACATAGTGATAGCAAAAGTAACTGCTAGTCGAGTTAACTTATTTCAAAGGATGACTGGAGAGCTCAAGGCCACTATATTAGACTATTAGTAAAGCAGAAAAGTAGAGACAGAAGGTGTGAGAAAACAATTACATTTGGAAGGAAAACACAACGTTTGAGTTGAAAATTTAGGACAGCAGGCAGTGACCGCAACTTAATACTACGAGTAGCATCAGCTCTTGTAGCACACGCATCACAATAATATTGATTGTCTCCTTGAAGCTCCTCTATGCTAAGGTAATCATCCAAACTCTCATCCAGACTCTTTAAACCTTTAACATTTAACTCCAGTTCATAGAAGTCCTCAATTTTTGACGACGCTTCAGACTCGTTTCCACATTTTGAGCACCTAGTTCAAAGAAGCAAAATCATGATCATTCATTTCAGAAATGCAAGAAAAGAAAGAAAGAACGAAAGAAAGAGAGGCAAGAAAGTGAGACAAGTCATTACTTCATAGTAACTTTACAATTAATAATTAGATTATAGGAAAATTATTCCCCACAATTTCAATTCCTTGAAAAGGTAATACATCTACGCAAATAGAACGCAATATAAAATAACAAACATGGAATGTTACTAGACACCATGCCGCTGCATTATAGTCAAGAAAATTTTGAGAGAAGAGCCTTTTAGCAAAATGTCCACCCGTTGGTAAAAGTTCTGCACACAGTATGTGTATAAACATCTCCCGGTTTCATACTAAAAATAAACTTGGTACACGTTACTCGGACAAAGGGGAGATGATTAGAGGGCGTGATGTCTTAAGCTGTAAGAACAGACTAATTTCAATAATTACCCAGGAAATTTCTTTCGTCGTAGATTTTAAAATGATTATTAGTTACACTTCAACTTAAAGAAGATTTAGGCAACAAGGTTGACACCATTACCACATGAAATGTCAGGGTGGTTAAACATTATAAAAGTTGTAGACTTAGTTTCACCATAGACTTGAATATAATCATCAACTAAACCTTGTGATTCCGAATCTCACTCTGTTGTTTGAGTATGCTCTCTTTCTTCCTAAATGTCCTAAAATCGATCCATGATACATGTAATCTAAATTAAATATATTCAAAAACTTTAGAACAAACGTAATGGATTATTATTTTTCTTTGCAGTTTAGTCTTACAGTAGATATTCTGAGTCTATGGGCCACATATAAGCACGGGACAATCATATTTTGCGAGGTCAAGAGGAAAGATCGTGATAAGAACACATCATACCTAGTTACGTGTGACACACCTCCGCGGAAAAGGTCTTGCACAATTGTCCTGGCCTTTGCAACTCTGGACTGGCTCAAGCATCGCTCAAGCAAGGAAAAGAGTAAGGTGAGAAATTCGTGGCTGTCCTGCTGAACACCATTGTCAAGTTCCAAGGTCTGGATAAATGGTGCTGAATCCACAAAGGCCATCTTACTGGAGTGCAGCTGTGCAAAAAGTCTTGCAAGGTTATTCAAAACAGGCTGCTCACCCAAGACTTCAGGTTCAACAGAGAAAACGCCTTCTCTGAATGATTTATTCATGTACAGGCACTGCAGTATACTATTGGCATAGCAAGTTGCACCAAGATTTGTAAGTCCTGCGGGTGTACTGGAGGATGCGCGAAGGTCAACCGAAGGGTCAGGACCAAGGGCATTTACAATTTCCGAAGTCTTCTGCCACAAGCCAGATTTCCGACTTCCATTAGGAGGTGGGACCAACCCACAGAAGCAATTAGGGTTGTCCTTGGTATTTACTCGACATCCTTGACAGAAAGGTTTCCATATCATAAAAAGCTGATTTACATCATCTTCACTCACCTCTCCATTTGAAAGAATCTTCCTACATCCCAAAACCAAATTCTTGAAAAAACAAAACATATTTCTTCAATTAAAGAATCACAATCAGTTCAACTGCAGTTTTACTTCATATAAGTTCTTCTTCTTATGTTCTTTTATTGTTCTTTCTCCGTCAATGACGTATATAACAAATTACAGATATCATACCCTTTAACTACAGAAATGAAGTAAATGAAATTTTAGCAATATAAACAAATCAGCCGAAATGATAAAATGGAAATCAAAAACTCCGGAAGTAACCTAGTAACTACAGTTAAAACCTAGATGAACATAAATCGAAGCGGAACCTCAAACAACTCATATATCAAATCATATATCAAATTCGCAAGTAAAACCATAGCAGATATTTATATCATTATTTTCTACAAAATATGCTAATAAACCTCTATAAAAATCAAGAAAAAGAAAAAAGAAAAAAAAAAAAAAAGCAAATTGCCGTAAATAGCAGTTACACATAGAAACCACAAAAATCACATCATACAAATTAAACGAATAAAATTGAAAAAAACGAACAGAAATACCTGTAAATTTCAGTGATGGCCTCTGCATTATCCTCGGCCCGACTCCTCTTATTTTTACTCCTCGTCGCCGGCCGATGATTCCCCATCTTCATATTTCTTATCACCCTAGAATGATAATCACTCAAAAAAAAAAAAAAAAAAAAAAAAAAAAACAATTACACAGATACACCGCAAAATTCGAAGTATATATTTATGATTCGGAGACGATGGCCTCGTCGATCCTCTGTGGTGATGGATTTGGAGCGATCGAGAGATGAAGAGTCAGAAAGCAGAGGTTTTGGAGTACCGTAATAATTTCATTTTTAGGGCTCTCGTTTATATATTTTATTTTGATTTTTCATTGTCAAAATTAATTTTGTTTTACTATTTTTTTATGTAAATAAATAAATATGTGCGTACGATATTTTTTAGGTTGCGCGGGGTAACTTTCGATTTTCCCTCCTTTTTCTTGTGCTAAAAAGCCTGAGAGGAGGGAAAAAATGAAGCGGAGGACAAGATCGGATCAGGTGGTCTGTGCCTACATGTCATGGGGCTTAATATTGTTACACGTGTGAAACATTTTGGAAATTGCTAATTTAACCTAGTATATTTTTTTAGTCCACTTGTTCTTTTTTATATGAACAAATCCTCTTGGTTTAAATGTTTCATTTTACACGCACCAAAATTATTATATTATGGGGAAACTACAGATAAATCTCTAATCCAAAACTCAACTCACAGATCAGTTCCTAGGTAGTTTTCCCAAGCAATTCAGTCCCTATTCACGCGTCTGACATGCAGATCAGTCCCTAATGTGAATTTTGAATATTTATTATATTCTCTTTTCACTCTCACCCTTTTCTCTCTCCTGCTTTTCTCTCTCCTGCTTTTCTCTCTCTTCATCTTCTCTTTCTTTCTTCATCTGCTCTCTTTCTTCTCTATTTCTTCTCCCTTTCTCTCCTCTGGTTTGCTCTTTTTCCGGCGAAAAAATCACTGTAAAACCCACCCACCCCACAATGGCCACAAATGATGTATCAAATGATTTACCCACTGTGATTCTTGGAAGTTGTCGATACAAAATGGAACTTCACATTATTTCCATAAAAAGTAATTCGACCTTAATGGAGATATATGGTGCTATTATCAACAAATGGAATCATATCCATCCAAATGCACTGATCCTCCAATACTTGGCTCCTCGGGAAAGATTGTATGTGACATTGGGCAGTGATGAAGATGTGGAGAATATGGTTGCATTGCATCTGATAATGAAGATGAGTGTGGTCGACATTGTCGTGATCCGCAAAGATGAAGCTAATTCGCGTGGAAAGAGGGTTCGCACCGATGGCTGGTAGGTCTCCATCTTTTTCTGTACTGCTGAAATGCATTTCTTTATGGTTGTTAATTATTGTGTGATACATAGTATAAAATATGGCACATAATAGTATCATGCTAATATAAATATGGTATGGACGTATGGTACTTACAGTACGTAACCTTGATCTGAGTAGTATGGGTGATAGGTAAATTTGGTACTGCTGGTGGGAAAACATAGTATCATATAATGAGGAAGATAGTACGTAACCTTCATCTGAATAGTATGGGTGATAGGTAAATTTGGTACTGTTGGTGGGAAAACATAGTATCATATAATGGGGAAGATAGTACGTAACCTTCATCTGAATAGTATGGGTGATAGGTAAACTTGGTACTATTTGTGGGAAAACTTAGTATTATATAATGGAGAAGATAGTATGGAACCAGTGCATTGTTATGATATTTTCATGTACATTGTTATTTGGATTCCACTCTATTGTAATCCATTTTTAAAAATTTTTTGAAACCAAAAGCGGCGATCAATCGATGGAAATCGAGGGTAATCCGCTTGGAAATTCAATTGATGCATGGAGACATTGCATCCGTGGGGAGAATCAGTTTTTTAAAGATCCTGATGATTTTAGGCATATGCTGAAAAACTATTCTATTGCTAATAATCGATCATTTAAGTACATGAAAAATGATCAACAAAAGATCATAGCAGTATGCATTGACGAAAACTGCAAATGGAGGGTTTATGCATCATTGTACAAGTCAGATAAGTTATTTAGCATTCGCAAGTGCAATCTTGAGCACACTTGTGGTGATGCTACTCTTCGTACAAGGGGTCATCCTAAAGCCGATGCTACATGGATTGCTCAAATTATGAAACGAAAATTGAGAACGCAACCAGCTTACACACCATGTGGTATGTTAGAAGATATCCGAGACGATTATGGTCTGGAGCTTCAGTACTACACAGCATGGAGGGGTAAAGAAAAAGCAATGCGTCATATCCATGGTGATGAGACGACATGTTATGATAAACTGAGACGCTATTGTCGTGCATTAAAAATGCATAACCCTGGTAGCATGGCAGAGTATGAGATTGAACCTGCTACTCAAAAGTTTATTCGAATATTTATTAGTTTTGGGAGTTCTATTTCCGGCTTTCATCGGTGTAGGCCGATGATATGTTTGGATGGGACTCACATTAAAAATAAGTACAAAGGATGCTTGCTTTCTGCTGTGTGCAAGGATCCAAATGATTCCTTATATACATTGGCATACGCAGTTGTTGATGCTGAGAATGATAAAAACTGGGAGTGGTTTTGCATTAAATAAAAACTGGGAGTGGTTTTGCATTAAACTGAAACAAATTCTAGATCTTCACAATGACATTAGATCTTTTACCATTTTCTCTGATCGTCATTCGGGGCTTCTTAAAGCCGTCCCGTTGGTATTTCCTAGTAGCCACCATGCATATTGTTTGCGACACTTGGTGGATAACTTTGGAACGTACCATTTGTCACCTCATGTCATACTTTTGTATAACATGTTTCATACTTTTGTATAACATGTTTCATACATTTGTGTAACATGTGTCATACTTTTGTATAACACATTTCATACATTTGTATAGCATGTTTCATACATTTGTATAGCATGTTTCATACATTTGTATAACATGTTTCAAAATAATATAGGTCCTGAGGAAGTACCCATTGCACAACAAGTCATATTGGGCGAGTGTTTTACATAATGCTGCATATGCTCCTACTCGGCAGGAGTTCGATGCAACTATTTCTCGTATAGTGCAATCTATGCCTCTCGCGGCATCATTTATTTCGAATTCTGATCCAAATCATTGGGCCAATGCCTATTTTTCTGGAGAAAGATGGGGAATCGTGAACAATAATCAGGCAGAAAATTGGAATGGTTGGGTTAAAGATGCCCGATCTTTGCCTGTTCCATCCATGATTGATCACATACGGATCAAAATAATGGAGATGCTAGTTAAACGACAAGGAAAAAGTTTGGCAATGACTGGCATATTGTGCAAGAAAATTCTAAAGAGATTAACAATCAATCATATGGCCTCTCGTTCCTTAAAATATTGTAGATCAAGTAGTACCGCTTTTGAGGTATATGATGAGGACAAGTCGTATAAGGTTGACTTGCAGTACAAGACTTGTTCTTGTAAAGCATGGCAATTAGAAAAACTTCCATGCAAACATGTGTTGGGAAAATTGGTTAAAAATTGAGTCATGAACAATTTTTATCAATGTTAGTGTACGGTCTAATTGAGTACATAAATGAATTTTGGATTAGAACCAATTTTGTGGTGAATGAAAAATTACTAGTCCAAAAATATAAGGAAAGTGGGATTTTAAGTTATCCCACATTGGAAAAGTAGAGAAGTACTGAGCTGTATTTATATCAAAATATGGGGACAAAGGGTCACGCCCTTTGGGCATTCAACTTTGTTTGGGAGAAAGGCCTATATGTTATATGTTTCAAATCGTGCCCGCGCGCGCGCGCCGCCGCCGCCGTCCGGCCGGCCGGCCGGCTCGCTCGTTCGTTCGTACGTACGTACGTACGTATGTATGGATTCCTCACTTCAATCCAAATACAGCCTACTGCATATTCAGCCTTCCCTTTACAGATTCTCTCGAAAAGTTCTACACAAAGTACAGTTCGTCGTACTTGGGATTTGGAGTGCTCCTATTCCAAGTTTTGCCGTTGTATCTTGGGAGACGATTTCCATTTAATCCGTTAGCACCGTTGCGGGGAAATTTCGTCTTAAGGACAGAGACAACTCGCCTCGGCAAAATTCTCGTTCATAGCAGGTTACCAACAACATGCATGTGCATGTTTGGAGTCAAAAGGATACTCAGTATATGAGTTTGTTGATCCATGCTTTCATATTGATACGTACAAACAGGTATATCAATTCACGATTAACCCAATTCCCTCGTTTGATGAGGACTTTGACTTGTACGATGCGTGTAATGCTCCGCCCGATGTCTTTGTTAATGCACCTGATTCGAGAACTCGACCGGGACGTAGAAAGACAAAAAGAATTCCTTCAGAAGTGCAAACTCGTAAACTGAAGTGTACTCGTTGTGGGAAGCCTGGACACAATCGTCGTACTTGCACACAACCAATCTGACTAGCAATTTTTTTTTAATGTAAATTTTGTCTGCATTTGTGTTACTTAAACTAACTAGGTTTGTTTCTAATGTAAATTTTATGTTTTTCATCAGGGAGGACAAGATGGAGGAGAGCTTACATGATTGCCCATTATGTTATTCAAGTGATTGAAGTGAATGAAAACTGGCTGTTTGTACTTTATTATTATGTGATTTGTACTATGTTGATTTGAACTTTGTACTATGTTTCAATTTGCACTATGTTTTTGCTATTTGTAGTTTGTACTATGTATTAGGTACTCTGTTCATTGATGGTTTATCATTTTCAGTCTAATGGTACTATTTTTATTTACACATGGTATTATCTATGAGATAGGATGGTATGAATTACTCAATTTATGACCGTTACAATATAGCCGTTGCTTACAATATAGCCGTTGCTTATTGTCAGAACTAGTCAAGTCATAATATGACCATAAATGACACATAGGCTCATTTGTTTCTAATTCATGGCTTCTTCGAGTAGCACCACTCAAATGAGTGGGTTAAAATACAAAAAAGGGAAATGCAAGCGTCTTGATTGTGGGAAGAAAACAATAATCATGGTTTCAGAAACTATTTCGAATCCCGGAAGGTTATTTTACTGTTTCCCACACCATGGCTACTCCCATTGGTGTGAACCATTTGAAGTTGGGCAAACTTTTTCCAACTCAAATCGTGAAGAAAATGAAGCTACAAGTGCGTCGATGAACCAAGTCCATCAAGAAAGTGAAGTGAAGAATTGCAATTCTGAAGGTGGAGTAGTTCATAGTTTGATAGTGTTGAATCTAGTAATATTTGCAGTCTACAAGCTATGTAAAACCTATGTACTGTTGTTTAATTAGTGAACATAAGAGTACAATGTATAAGCTGGTAAAGTTCGGGTTATTCGTGACTATAGTACGCTTTGTTCACCAATTAAGTACAATGTTTAAGCCGTTAAAGTACAAGTGAGTCGTCACTATAGTACGATTTGTTCACTGATAAAGTATATGTTTGCCATTCATATAGTATTTTTACATTCTATATATTATTGTCGGGCCAATGCATCCATATGATCGCATTTTAAGACACAACTCTTCAGTTTAAGACTATTAAGAATGAATGGAGACAATGTGGGAGTCGATCAACATCGACTATGGTAAGAATTGAGGAAAGTATTAGTTTTACACTTGAGCATTGTAGACTTGTATGAATATATTGTATAGTATATGAGTATCATGTATGAAATTCAACATATTTATGGGATCTTGTATTCCAAACGCAACAATAATGCTCACCTACCTTAAAATAATCATTTAAAACATAATTTATGCAACTCCCGTACTTATTGATCATTAAAACGTCGATGAAATTGGTACAATTCAATTCATCAAAAAATATAGTACGCTTTGTTCACCAATTAAGTATAATGTTTAAGCCGTTAAAGTACAAGTGAGTCGTCACTATAGTACGATTTGTTCACTGATAAAGTATATGTTTGCCATTCATATAGTATTTTTACACTCTATATATTATTGTCGGGCCAATGCATCCATATGATCGCATTTTAAGACACAACTCTTCAGTTTAAGACTATTAAGAATGAATGGAGACAATGTGGGAGTCGATCAACATCGACTATGGTAAGAATTAAGGAAAGTATTAGTTTTACACTTGAGCATTGTAGACTTGTTTGAATATATTGTATAGTATATGAGTATCATGTATGAAATTCAACATATTTATGGGATCTTGTATTCCAAACGCAACAATAATGCTCACCTACCTTAAAATAATCATTTAAAACATAATTTATGCAACTCCCGTACTTATTGATCATTAAAACGTCGATGAAATTGGTACAATTCAATTCATCAAAAAATATAGTACGCTTTGTTCACCAATTAAGTATAATGTTTAAGCCGTTAAAGTACAAGTGATCGTCACTATAGTACGATTTGTTCACTGATAAAGTATATGTTTGCCATTCATATAGTATTTTTACACTCTATGTATTATTGTCGGGCCAATGCATCCATATGATCGCATTTTAAGACACAACTCTTCAGTTTAAGACTATTAAGAATGAATGGAGACAATGTATGACTATATTGTATAGTATATGTGTATCATGTATGAAATTCAACATATTTATGGGATCTTGTATTCCAAACGCAACAATAATGCTCACCTACCTTAAAATAATCATCTAAAACAATAATGGAGACAATGTGGGAGTCGATCAACATCGATTATGGTAAGTTTTTTGTGAATACACATGTGAAGTACGCTTTGTTCATCAAATAAGTACAAGTCTATTGTTGACAAGGTATCTTCGAATGGACTAGAAAGTATTTGTTGCTCATTTTTATGGTACGCTCGTATTCTTTATACAAACTAATTAATCGCAAAATAAAGTACCATGTGTTCAAAAGGCAAGTACATTTCATCGAAACATATAGTACAATGTATACAATGAAAAAGTACGAGTAGAGCTAATCAATAGTATTATTAGCTCTACAACAAAAGGACAGATTGTTTATGACATAAAAACACATTCACCTGTTCATTTAATTAATTACAAAAAACACAAGAACCCCAAAACACTTCCACTCCCAGTTTTTTCACAATAACGCCAGATCTATTTCATATTTAGCTTCCACTTCTACTCCCCGATGCCTCAGAAAGATAGCTGCTAGTTTTGGGCGAAGTGTTTTGATATCGCAAGTTTTTGCCTTAAACCAAATATCTTCACTGTTTACAGCATGACAATATGCCCACATGCAGACAAACAAGCCGCAATCAAGGTTCCCATCCTGCTGCCTATATCCATGAACCCATTTAGCTTCCGATTGTATCTCCAACCCAGACCTTCTTTCAACCACCTTGCTGTAAAACGAGGCCTACGAAAATAAAATATTATATTAGTCTACAACAATTCGCAAGAATAAAGAATAACTAATTACAAGAATATGGGCTTACGACATAATCCCCAATTCCTGGGAAATTCGGAGAATAGTCTATGGAGTTCCAATGGTAAATACATTTATCTATTGGGTTCAGAACAAGCAGGAACCAGTGTTCACTGGAATTGATAGGTATCATGACAAATGTTTTGCTGAAGATATTTGCTGTGTTTAGCTTGTCAAAAGCCATCGTTCCAAAAATAGTAAAATCATTGAGAAGACGATCAAACTTGGCATCGCTCATTCGTTCTACGTCCACCCGAGGTCGCGACATTAACTCTTGCTACGAAACATAATAGAGAATATTAGATAAACATTGTAATGTGTCCAAAATTATTTGTTAAACCACTATATACCTGGGCAGGGGAGTCAAGGTAATCAATCTCATGTCCATGCTGGTTCATGATAGATTCGGAACATAATAGATTCAAGTACAAATCTATGTGTTCTGCACTCAGCATTTCATCAAATAAAAGTTCGCACATATGCCTTCCCGTCAATTGATGTGGGCCTCTCTCCACAATAATTTCACTACAGTAAGACATAACCATGTACTATTGGATAAGTAAACTTGTACTATGTACAAAGTTACTACATACTATAACATGTGGTCAACATATACTATTGGATAAGTAGACTTATACTATGTACAAAGTTACTACATACTATAACATGCAGTCAACATGTACCATTGGATAAGTAAACTTATACTATGTACAAAGTTACTACATACTATAACATGCAGTCAACATGTACCATTGGATAAGTAAACTTATACTATGTACAAAGTTACTACATACTATAACATGCAGTCAACATGTACTATGTATTCACTTGACATATACCATTAAAGACATTAACATGTACTATCAAGGTGGTTGTGCTCTTACCCTAAATCAACACTTTCCAAGAACAGATCCAACACTATCCTCTCTTCTTCGGATATTTGGTCACGACGTACGTAGTCCTTTCTTCCCCGGTAATAATCGGCAGTCTATATAACGAATAAATCACACCAATTATGACAAAAAATAATAATAATGTAATACTAATATAATCATAAATACCTTGATCCCAGGGACTGAAACCGAAACCTTGGACACAGGAACTTGTTTACGACCACGTCCTCGTCCTCGTCCTCGCACGCTTGGAACTTTGGCCTTTGACTTTGGCCTTTGACTTTGACTTTGACTTTCGTCTCCTTGATTTCTCTCTCTTTCTTCATTTCGTTCTCCTTCACCTTCCATCCCCTCTACTTCATTTTTTCTCCTTCTTTTTCCCTTTCCTCTATCTCTATCTCTGCCTCTATCTCTATCTCTTCATCTGCCTCTGTCTCTCTCTCTTTTTCTGTCTCTCTCTCATTCTCTCTCTCATTCACTCTCTCTGTCTCTTTCTCTTTCTCTTTCTCCTGCTATTTCTCTATCTCTATCTCCTTTTCTTTCTCTATCTTTTTTTCTTTTTTTCTCTTACTCTGCATTTTTTTTTCTTTATTTTTTTCTTCTGTTACATTCCCCCTCTTCCTTTTTAAGTTATTCATCATCTGCTGCAACTAAAAAAAACAATAGTACGAAACATGTTATACCATAGTATTATATTAGTTGACATATAGTATGTTCCAATGGGAATGGAAGTATGAATTTTAGGGTTTATTGTATTAATGACTTACAGATGTTGCTTCCACGTCTCCAATCTCATCTTCACTACTCTCAGAACTTATTTCCACAAATCTGTCAGCACTAATTCCAACAACTGGACCAGAAATTACTTCCAAAACCGGAGAAAGCAACGCTTTCTCTTTCGGGTACACAGAAAATGGTATAACCTAATAAACGTAAAAAAATTGTTAGCAAATACCTAATACATTATATATTTTGTAACTCAAAGTGTTACCTGCACTTGTTTTATCTGATCAAAAAGCAACCTAGCTGCTTCTTCATCGATTGGGATTTTGCTGTCTCGCCACCGGAAGAACCGGGGAAATTTGTAAACGCTGGTGGAAACCCCTAGTGACGTGATCCTTTCATGCACCCATGCCTGCGTATTTTGGAATCATTATTAATTGGTATATTCAATATAATATAATATATATTCACTATTAGATATCACTTACCAATAAGCCGATAGTGCATCCATCAAAATACTTTAACCCCCCCTTCAGATACATCTCCATATTCTCAACAAGAGTATCATATACCAACTTTCCCCATGCAAAAGACCCTAAAACCTCCAAATCTTCTACATGCGGATAAACCCACCTTTCTAACGTTTTGTTACCCTTTGGCAGTAGAATAGTATTAAACAGATAAATAGTGTACAATCTGCTGAAATCTTCAACAGATTGTTGATC